ATGTTGGGCAAATGCTGCACCACTGCCCAGCCCTTTTAATTTTGAGACAAGGCCTCATTACATTAGAGGATGGTCTTCAACTCGTGATCCACCTGCCTCAGCCTCCAAATAGCTGGGATTACAGACATGCATCATAGCATCTGGCTCAGCCCCTTAACTTTTGCCTAGTGGGAACCCTGAGCTCTAGCCAATGGCTTCTCTTCGGTGTCCCTCAAATCTCAGCCTCCATGCAGAGTATCATCTGTGCTGACCCCTGGGCCTGGCCAAATGAGGAGGAAACCATAAATAATCTAAAGATGTACTCTGTATCCCCTCTGTCCCATCTGCCTCCTTGTAGTACTCCACAGCCCCCATCAGCCCCCTGCCTTGACCGTGGCTGAACCTTCAGGGTCAAGTCACTAGGGGTCTAAAGGGTGCACAACACACCTCCTGGCGGTACTTGGTGACATAGAAGTAGAGCTCGCTGAGTGCACTTAGGACATTAAAGTCACTAGCATGGAGGCGGGACTGCTCCACAAGGTAGGCATCCATGTCTTGGTCACTGATGGAAGCCATCTTTGCAATGTCTCGGTAGTACCTGTTGGGACCCTGAGTAGGTTAATCAAGCAGATATCACAAATTCCAAAACCCCTGCCCTTGCTGCCCAGCCAGCCTCAGGGGCTTTTTTCCACTGCTGGCTCGCCTTACACAGGCTGCCTAGGGTGGGGTAACTCAGTCACCCACAGCACTCTCCTCTTGGGGCCCACCTCTCCACCCAGCTCTTGTAGTTGGGAATGTCCTTGGCATAGAGTAGCTTGTTGGAAGGTGAGTCCTTGCCCAAGCGGTGCTCTGATGTGGAACAGGAGTCCATGAAGGTCTGGGCCACCACTGACAGGCAAGCATCTGTGATGCTGTTCTTGTGGATGTCAAACACGAACTGAGGGTTCTTGATCACATTCACCCAGAAGCGCAGGGGCAGGCTGAATAGAGGGACACATATCCAAGGCTCCTAGTGGCCCCATGGACCCACTACCACCACTGCCTCCCTTCACACTTATTCCTGTCTGGCCAGTTCACATCTTGTCCTGAGGTGGCAAGAGACACATATGGCATTTGAAGTTTCAGCTGGACTTCAGGCAGTGAGAAATAAGAGGAAATGGCCCCTCTGTCCTCAGTAGGTCTCAACTCCCTCTGCAGCTTTCACTTTTACCACTACCACCACCTATGACAATAAGCACCTCTACCCTGCACAAGACCCTGGAGGGCAAAGGGCCACCTCTCAGAACTGGCCTCACTGCCCACATCCCACTCACCCAAAGTACCTAGCAACATCTACCTACAGACTCACTTGCCTCCAAGCCAAGCCACCATCTTTTCCTGCCCCTGCTGGTCACCTTTCCTCCATGGGGCCTAGGTCTTGGCAAAGCCACCAGCCTCTTCCATCCACCCATCCCCAGGAAGCCATCAGCAGCCAGGAATAGGGCAGTACCAGTTGCTCTTCCAGGTGTGGCGCACATCAGGATCACTGATCTGGCGCTGATCAGCCTGCTCATCCAGGAAGTCAAACATGTACTTGATGGCCAGGGGCAGGGCCGAGCCCCGATGGGCAATGCTGAATACTGTTTCAAATAAGTCATCCACAAACTTCTGCAGTGTGCCCTATGGGGAACAGTGAGGACACAAGCTATGAGGGACCTAGGTCAGATTGTTCCTGAAGCCTAGCAAATAGGCAGAAAGTCTTGGCAAACAAACAGGCATTCCACCTGGCATGGTGGTGTACAACTGTTATCCCAACAGCTTGGGAAGCTGAGGCAGGAGGATTGCAAGGATCACGAGTTCAAAGCCATGGTGAGGCACTAAGCAACTCAGTGAGACCCTGTCTCTAAATAAAATACAAAATAGGGCTGGGGATGTGGCTCATTGTTTGAGTGCCCCCCCCATACACAAAAAAGAGAGGCTTTCCTATAAGACCCAACTGAACCTTGGGTTTAGAGTTCTTATTCAAAGCCCTGAGAAAGTGGCTGGGGCTAGAGGGTATTTGTGCAGAGACTGAGATGACATAGGGCAGATGCACACCTTAGTGGCCAAAAGCCGTGTTAGATAGATCTCTGAGACCATCTTGCTGCCACGGTCCCCCTCTCGGTGGTCGGCGTGGTCATGATTCTTTACCAGGTGCCACAGTTTGGTGCCCGTCTCCTGGTCAGGTGTGATCATGGGTGCCCGTGAGCGGAGGCTATCAGGGCTGCTAGCAGTGCGGAGCAAGCTCTCTGGGCAGAGAACAAGTGTGACCCTTAGATCACTGGAGCCAGTGGCCATTGCCCAACTTCTTGCCCTACTCTTTCCCAGGAGCCCAGCAGATTGTCTGCTCTTGCTGACCCATCCTACTTTGAGGCTGTACAGAATAGGAAACCTCCCAAGGGCATTTACCTCCCTGGTAAAGCCTCCAGGGCCAACCCAGCTACTTGGGGGCTCCCCAGGATGGCTTATGCAGCCTCAAAGGATATAGGGCCAGCAGAAGCCACCATGCTAAGGACACTTACCATAGCGGCTGAGGGAGCGGGTGAAGGTGAAGGAGTTGGCCATGTTATAGGCAGATACTTGTTTGGGCACGAGTGCTACTAAGGAACCATCTGTCACCTGAAGGTCCCAGAGACAGAGAAGGGGCAGTATAGGAAGCCAAAGGCCACCACCCTCTGCACCCAGACCCTTTAGTGTACATATGGGTGGTACTCGGGGCCCTGTGAGGTGGACTCATGAGTACAGGCAGAAGGGCTGGGAGAAACCAGGACCACTGCTCCTGTGTCCTGCTGTGATTCAGGGCAATACCCTGGCTCCCATGTGGCCCTGGGGGTGATCAGGTTCCCAGCCTCTCACCTGGTAGTGGGCCAGGGAGTTGACCCTCTTCCAGTCACACTCAATCTTGGTAGTAACGTCCTCATCCTGGAGGATGATGCGGGCCATGCGGCCCTGGCGCCATTCTGTGGGCCACAGTTAGCCCTTAAAAGCATTCCCCCAAGACTCTGGGTCTATTTCTTTCAGGGAACCAAACTCAAATGGGGAGCATAACAGCCCCCTTGGCATGTATAGGTGGGGACCAGGAGGAGGGAGAGGGGGCCTCACCCAGATCCATATCCTCAGCTTTGGGGCGCTGGGAGTAGGGGATGCCCTTGTACACAGTGTCCAGCAGCTTGTCTTTGGCCTGAGTTATGCTGTCACAGTTGAGAACCTTCACTGGGACCTGGGTGCTGCCCTCACTCTCTGGGCACATACAGTGCAGTGTCTAAGGGTAAAGGGCACCAGAGGAGCATCAGTCTGGGGCAAGGCCTCTCCCCATCCCCACATCTCCTGCCCACCTGTCCCTGTGCTCCTCACCAGTGTCTTGTAGTCAATCTGTTGTCGGATGAGCTTGTCCTCACTCAGAGAATAGCGTGCCTCGCCTGTTATGGCATCAATGGGACCCTTCTCCATCTGCTGCTTGATGGCACAGTAGAGCAGGAAGAGTGGCTCCCCAGCGCACTCCTGCAGTTGGAGTCAGGTGCACGCTTGCTGCCTGCCTAACAGCTAGGTGTCCCCCAACAGTCCTTCCCCTTCTGCCCAGCCCACCAAGCACACCTTCAAAAACTTATGCAGCAGAAATGTGAACCAGTTGGTAAGCATCTTCTCAGCAACTGACTCTGTCCTAGGGCAGGAGAAGAGTGCTCAGGCCCTGGCCTGGTAAGGCCAGGGCCCTGACAAGGAGCAGGGCCAAGTGTGTAACCTAGACACGAATGGGGCTAGCCAGGGGTGAGCTGGGGGAAGGGACCAGGCAGGATAGTACAGACCTGCGCAGCAGCAGCTTTGGGTGGTTCTTGCTCTCAAGGTTTTTCTCTATGAGGTCCGCCAGCAGTTGCTTCAGGAGCCCAGTGGCATAGTCCAGCCGGCTCTGCAGGGCCACCATGGTGAGTGAGGCCACAGTGCCACGGTCACGCATGGAAAAGCTGTTCTGGGCCTCCAGCGTGTGGATGAAGGTGAGTACGAAGGCGCGGTTGTGCAGCAGCTGCCCGAAGAGGCGCAGAGCCTTCTCGACATTTGGGGGGGTCTGTGCGGAACAGGGAGTCTCAGAGAGTAGGAGTAGCCCTGGGGGAAACAAGGCATGGGCAGGCTAGGGGTGGCTCACATCCAACTCCTTAAGCACTGGGTGGGCCTCAATGCCTGGGAAGAGCACGCGCACTGCATAGGTCCGATAGTCCAGGAAAGGGATCTGCACCCCATCCATGTGATTTGTTAGCTCATTGATGTCTGTCTGTAGTTCTGCAAAAGCTGGATAAAGGTGTGAGTGAGCTGAGTAGGTAAAGGGTGGGCCCCCAGCCCCCACAGCCTGCATCACACTCCCTGCCTCAGGCACCTTCCTTGCACTCCAGGGCCACACGGGACTCCAGGTTGTCCATCTGCAGCTGGAGCCGCTTAAGTGTGCGGTCTGCATCCTGAGTCTTGCGCTTGTAGGCGACCAGCACAGCAGTGATGGCCAGAAGCAGGAGCCCACCCCCCACTGCCAGCCCCACCATGGCTGGCAGGGTCAGTGCCCGCTCAGCTGTGATGTGCAGGGTACCCAGCCAGAACTCCAGGCCACCCACCAGCACCTGTGGGGACAGGTCCAGAGTGAGCCTACCCCCCCTCCCCTCCAGGCTGCCCGGGTGACCTCCCCATCTCCCACCAACCATGACAGGCTGCCGGCCTGTCTGACTGGGCGAGTCACACAGGAGTTGTGTGTCTGAGACGGTGAGTGCACAAGGCTGGCCTCCAATAAGCACTGTATAGTTGAGGCGGGAACTGCCAGCTGCTGCCGGGATCAGGTTCTTGCCCTGGAGGTGGAGGACTCAGTCACTCAGGGTTCTCCAGGTCCCTACTTGTTCCTTTCTCTCCCCACCCCTCCCTGCCCCACCAGCACCTTTAGCACAACATGGGAGCCAGGTTTGACATCCAGGACGCCAGAGGGCCCAAGCGGCTCAAAGCTGGGGTCAGGATAGTAGGTGAAGGAGGAGCGATTGAGGGAGCGGGCTGTCTGCACGTGGTCCAGCAGGAAGCCAAACTCATCAGGGTGCTCGCCTTGGGCCCTGGGCTGAGGCTGCCCAAGGAAGATGCCGGGGGCCTTACACAGCATGGCAGTATCGTTGATCACCTGGCATGTCTGTAGGAACATGGGTGGGCAGCCTGGTGCATGAAGCTATGAGCAATAGAAGCACGGCAAGGCAAAGGCAACTGTTACTCACATTGGTAGTCTCAATGCCACGGTACTTGGCCCGGACCCGGGGCTCCTGAACGGTCAGCAGGTGGGTCCCACTCACAGTGATGGCAGTGCTTCCACTGGGACAGGGATAAGGGACCTCAGGGTTCCTCCCCACCCAGCCCTGGAGCGTTATTAAGGCTGCCATGAGAGCCCAGGGCCTCCCTGACCCTGGATCACCCAGCAGGTGCCAGGTACTGTGTCCTCAGTACAACTCCGCCCCCTCCACCAGGGGAGGCTCAGGCTCAAAAGGACACTTGATGGCCAAGGCCCCACTTACCAGGTGAGGCTCTAGGGAAGAAGCTCAGGGATCTGACCCAGTCTCTGACCCCATCCTCCCCAGAGTCTTACTTAATGATGCTCCAGGTAGGCTCAAGATGAGTGACGGTGGGGTCCTGAGTGTAGGTATAGATGACTCCAGGGCTAGAGATGTTGGCTCGGTCAATGGCAAGGGTGATGGGGGCCTGGCTGGGGCCCAAGGTGGAGACAGGCGAGATACATACGATGGCCTCAGCATCTCTTCTACATGAGCAAGCAGGGTGCTTGAGGCAGGTGACTGGGGACCTTCAGATGCCCTGCCCCCACAATTCCCCTCCAATGCTCAGCCCACCTCACAAACTGGCACTCGCCATCTCTCACGGTTACTGTGACCCTGCTGCCGGCATCCAGAGAGCTGCCAGAGATGGTGAGCCGCGTGCCCCCTGAAGCTGGGCCCCGAGTAGGACTTACACGGTCAAATGTCGGGGTCTGGGGAAGAAGCAGCCCTGAGGGGAGGGAGGAGCCAGCCCAGTGCAGGGGCTGTTCTGCATCCCCCTTGGATGGGGAAGGGAAAGAGCTGGGAAGGGGAAGGGGGTAATGGGCCACACACCACAAAACTGTAGAGCTGCTCGGACTGCGTACGGAAGTCGGCAGAACAGTCGCCTACACAGAGCTCAGCAGGCCCTGGCTGCGGGCTGGGCACCAGTGACTCCTCCATCTCACAAACAATCCTAGAGGTTAGGGAAGGTCAGGGCCAGCCATGGCAGACAGGGACAGGGTACCCACATGGTCACACTCACCTCTCAGCACTGACGTACTCAGTGGGGATAGAGTTGCAACGCACACCAGCCACTCGCAGGACCACCTCCCTGGAGGCAAGGCCCAGGTTCTCACCCACGATGGTGACCCGGGTGCCTCCCTCCTTGGGCCCCATGAGCGGGTAGATCTGCAGTGTGGTATAGGAGGGGAGGGTCAGCAGACTCCTCACAGGTGCCCAGCAGGAGGTATATGACTGATGGAGGAGGCTGACCTGGATGATGCGTGGGTGGCTACACCGGGTCCCCTTCTGGCTTGGGTGCATCCAGTTGGTCTTGGGGGCTGGGCAATGGGCCCGCAGCTGGCACCTGTTTTCTGTGATGCACCAGCCACAGTTGAAGCGGGGGTCAGCCTTGAGGCAGAGGCCGCAGTTGGGCCGCTGAGCCCAGCACTTGTACAGGAGGGCTGTGAACACAGGGGGTACTGCTGACACAGTAGCAATGGCAGAGAAGCAGGGAGCACTAGAGCCCGCAGACCTGCACCCTGGAGTGCCAACCCTACCCTGGAGGCAGACAGGCTCTTCAGTCCCATGTCACCCCTCACCTCGGAAGCTGGGAGGCTTGTCAATGGGGAAATCTCCATCCCAGACAACAGAGAAGTCCAGCTCAGTGTCACCATACTCGTCACCATCATAAGAGTACTGGGGAAATCAGACCCATGTGACTCCAGATGACATAAGCAGACCCTCCTCCAAAACTCTTGCCAACTCTCCCTCTCCTCAACCTGTCTTCAGCTTGCACTTGGGAGTGGAGGCCCTAGTAGGGTCTTACCGAGGCATTCTGACACTGCACACTGCTGCTATTGAAACGCACAGCTGGCACTCGCTGCTGCCGCCCCTGTACCCGGACCACACACTCATAGTTCTTCTGGCCTGACTGGGGCTGTGGCAGGTTTTTAGCCCGCAGGGTGAGAGGCTGCATGACACCCACGGGGATCAGGAGGTCCCCACGAGGCAAGATCTCAGGGCAGCCCTGGGGGGAAAGCACCTGTCAGTAGCACCCTGGGCCTCTACTCTTCTCCAGGCCCAAAGAAACTAAAGAGATCAAATGCAGAAAAGCCAGAGGCCACCTGAAAAGCCCAGCCCCCTCACACAACACATGGCACCCGCCTCACCTCAGGGCTGTGGACCCTGCCCTCCTGGAAGGAGCACTCGTGGGGGTGGCTGGTACACACATGGCGGTACTTACACCAATGGCAGGGATAGGGGCTGCCAACACAGGACATGCACCTGGGGACAAGGACTAGCTTCAGAAATAGGAGAAAAGGCCATGCCACCCTGCACTGCCTTCTCACAGGATACACTGGGAAATAAAGGAAGAACATAGCCAGGCACCAAAGGCCCATACCTCACATCAGCAGCAAAGAAACATGGGACAGGGATCAAGAAGCCTTGATGGCTGTAGTCCCTGAAGCCCCCAGAAACAGACCCCTGAAGTTCTTGCCTATCCCAGAGCCCCCTTTAGTCCCCAGGGATAGGTGCTAGTCCAGGTACTCACGATTGGAGGACACTGCAGTTGTAGAAGACAAAATCAGCCCCAGCAAACCTCACACCAGTCTCCTTGGAGAGCAGCTGCAGCTGCACAGTGCGGGTGGCCCCTGCAGCAAACCCAGGAGCAACCATCAACTAGCAGGGACAACTAGCCACCCCACCCACCCCATTCCAAGCAGCCCCTACCCACTGACCGTGCCCCCTGGTAAGAGCCTGGAGCTCCTGGAGGGAGGGTGAGGGGCAGTGCAGCTCCCCGGAGGGCAACAGGACAGCCTCGCTCTCTGTCACCTCCTCAAAGGCACAGGTCACACCCGCACTGAGGTCTGGCACGTTGCGCATGGCTACAGTCAGCTGGGGGAGGCAGAGGGCTCAGAGCAGGGTGCAGCCTCCCTGTTCAGCACACATGGGTTCAAGCACCCTCCATGCCACTCACCTGCACCCCAGGTGATGTCACTGACACGTTGTTGGGCCTGACTCGCACCTGTACACACCTGCTCAGCTCCTCTGCAAAGCCATGTGGGGCAGAGGCACCAGGACAAGCACCTTCACGGCAGCACCTGCATGGGGACAGGCCAGAACTGGTCCCACCACTGCCCCAAGAGGGTCTTGGTGGGGAAGCAGTAAGAAACTGGGGGAAGAGGAAGACTGGCCAGCTCACAGTGCCAGGCAACATCGTGCCTCAGCCTTGTCCCCTGGGATCCAAAGGACGTCACTCAGGGTGGAGGTTGCACTCATTAGCTGGAAAAACTGGAGGAGGGAGGGCAGGGAAGCTGCTGGGCACAAATAGGGAGAAGCCTCCCCCCAGAGGACAGCCCCAGCAAACCCACTGCCCTGCCACCCTGCACCTGCTGCCCTCACCTGTGCTGTAGCACACACCAACCGCAGTGTGGGTCCCCTGAGCCCAAGCAGGCTGCACAGCTCAGGTACTGCTCACATGTCTCCACTGGAAGCTGGCTCACCTGAGGACAGCCATATCAGCACCCAGCCTACCCCTACCCCCCCACCCACCACCACCCACCGTGGGCCCACCTGCTTCTCACTCAGGAGGTAGATGTGCCGGTAATCAGGGCTAAAGAGGAGGTCTCGGAGAATGGGGCTGCCATCCACCACAGGGACTGTCTCATATAGGTGGGCATCCTGGGAGCCATCAACCCGTACCTGAGCCACAAGAACAAGGCACAGGAATGACAGGCCAGCCGGATGCCACTGCAGTCCCCTGCATCCAGGGCACGCTCTTCTTGAGCCAGGACTTTGTATGTTGTGGCTGAGCTGAAGCCATGGCCTGCTCCCACTTAGTGCCTGGCCTGTACGCCAATGGCTCCCAAAGCCACAACCCTAGGACACGGAAAGCAGGGTAGAGACTGCTCCCAGAGTCAGCCAGAAAATGCTCCCAGGAGACAGAAAGGTCTGGTGGATGGGGGAGTAGGGATGATAGCCAAATGGTATGACATTTTTTAGGGTGATGGAAACGTCCTGGAATGAGACAGTGGTGAAAGCTGTACAACTCTGCAAATATGCTAAAAACCACGGAATTGTATGCTTTAAAGGGGTGCATTATATGGCTTGTGAATTATATAGTTCAATAAAGTCATTACAGCAGGGTGTGGTGGTGCACCCTGCAATCCCAGTGACTCAGGAGGCTAAGGCCAGAGAATTGTAAATTGAAGGCCAGCCTGGGCAATACAGAGACCCCATCTCAAAATAATAAATAACAAGGGCTGGGGATGCCAGGCATGGTGGTGCACAACTGTAATACCAGTGACTCAGGAGGCTGAGACAGGAGGATCACAAGTTTGAGGTCAACCTCAGCAACTTAGCAAGACCCTCAGCAACTTAGTGAGACCCCGTCTCAAAATAAAAAATAAAAGGACTGGGGGTGTGGCTCAGTGGTAAAGCACCCCTGGTTCAATCCCCAGTACCAGAGATAGAGATAGAGATATAGAGAGATAGATCGAGAGAGAGAGAGAGAGAGAGAGAGAGAGAGAGAGAAAGGGAGTTGGGGATATAGCTCAGTGATAGAGCACCCCTATTCCCAGTACTGCCAAATAAAAATAAAAGGGGGGGGGTCCAGCAGTTAAGCAGTCCCAGTGTCCATGAGGAAAATAATGTGGGATGGGAATGGGAACCTAGAAAAACCCTTTCCAGGAAGGCAATGTCTCAGGTGAGAACAAAAGGATGAGGCAGTGTTAAAGAGGGAAAGAGCAGGAGGACTGTAGGGCAAAGGGCTGCAAAAACGAGAACTTAGCCTCAGCCCCTGCTCTCCTGGCAGGGAGAGGGAGGCCCCACAATACATGTGATCTCTGTCCTCAGAGCCACAGGAAGCAAGCAATTCAGACCAGAGTGGGTGCTGGCACTAGTGAGGATGGGTGGTTGAGGGATCACCGAAAGAGCAGGGCTAGGCTCCTGGGGCTGGTCACTGTGGCCTATCCAAGGTCTTCCAGGGCTCAACTGTGCATTCCCACCCATACCTCTTGTCCCAGAGCTGAGATACTTCCCCCATCCCCACATGCCAAGGGTTCCAGGGCCCACCTTCTTCAGACTGCCGCTGCGTGTGCCAATGAAGACCACAGAGTGCTGGTGGTAGGTGTAGGCAGCCACACTGGCCATACCATCAGTGCTGTCAGCCAGCAGGGGCAGCCCCTCAATCACATTCAGGCCGCCCAATGGCTGGTTCAACACCAACCCACAAAAGTTTCCATTGATCTGCATGGGCTGGTAAAACAGGAGGGGTGCATGAAAGTCCAACCTGGACAGAGGGCATCAGATCTCATGTCCTGCCAGGACACAGGATCTGGAAGTCAAATCTGTCCAGCCAGGTCCCCATAGGAAATTGGAGACTAAGGAGGGAGAATATGGAGGGGAGAAGCCTGGGCCTGCAACAGAGGGACAGGCAGCAACTTGGGAGGCTGAGGGAGGAAGATTATAAGTTTGAGGCTAGCCTCAGGAATTCAGCAAGACGCTGTCTGAAAATAAAATGGACTGGGGATGTAGCTCAGTGGTAGAGGACCCATTGGTTCAATCCCTAATACCACACACAGAAAAAGACAGGGTCAGATTGGGAGACTGTTACTGACTTGAGAAGGAGCAAGGGTGAACAAACTAGGAACGGATGGAGGGGCAGGAAGAAAAAGGTGGTAGTCTATAAGCAGATGATACCCAGCAAAAGAATGGCAGTAAGGAGGAGTGCAGAAAGAAGAGAGAGGGAAGGGGTCTACAGAAAGAAGAAATGGGTGTCAGGAATGAGGTGGCACTCCCAGGGCCATGCCAAGCCTAAAACTGGATATCCAGCCCAGGAATTGGGCAGGCCAGCAGAGTTGCCAAGCCCAGCCTGGGAACACTGTGGGGTGGGCAAGGAGCTCACGGTGTTGATGCAGGGCAGCTCCTTGTTCAGCAGCCAGGGCAGGGCCAATGTGCCCTCCCCACGATAGCAGGACTGGATGCGGCGCCTAATGTGGGCATTGATGTTGCTGAGGGTAAAGAGACAGAGGATGGTCTGCCGAGGTGGGCTGGCCCTGTTCTTCTGGCCCTGAGAGAAGATGGTGAAGAGGACATCCTCATCAGCTGGCACACCCAGGGCCTGGGCTAGCAGCAAGCCAGGTTTGGCCAGGTGGGCACTCTGCACCAAACGGTACTCCACACCATGCCAGGAACAACCAATGGGGAACTCCACATATGAGTAGAACTCCGAGTCCCCTGCACACATGCGCACAATCTTGGACGTGAAGAATTTCTCGCCTGCTGTGTCCAGCAGAGTCTGCTGGGTGTCTAGCTGCAGTGTCAAGAAGTACACGAAGGAGGCACTAACAAAGCCATATATGTAGTAGATGTCAAAGGCAGGGTACAAGGACAGTGTGTCTGAGGGGATCTTGATCTGAGACGAGACAAACTCATCCTGGTACACCTGGGGAGCAGGCAAAGTATTAGCATAAGATGAAGCCTAGGCCCCACTACCCACCCCACCTACACCTTCCAGCCCTACTCCAACAACAACACCCACCAGGGGCCTCCGTATGATCCCCCACCCTGCCTGGACAATCACAGGAACCCAGGCCAGAAAGGCCACAGAGGGAAGGATAACTAGTTCCCCCATAGACGGGGTCCCCACAGTAGGCTCAGGCTGTCCTCCCTTCTTCAGCAGCTTGTCTGCATCTCTGTGACAGTGAGTGGATAAAAATTCCCCTCCTGGACTAAGGGCTCTCTCAAGAACCAGGACTGAGTAAAGGAAAGAGGGGATAGGGACTGGGGTCATGAGAGGCAGGTGAGGAAGACTGAGTGGACAGGCACAGTTCACCTACCAGACTGAACATATCAGCACTGTCCTCGTCGCCAATGAGCTTGCGGGAGCTCAAGGTAGGAAAGTACTCTGACTTGCCATCCACAGCAGTACCTACAAATAGCTTGCTAGGCCCCTGGCCCTGCTCCACAATGACACCAGCCATGGAGTCAGGTTCCTGGGCCCCTGACAGGTAGTGCTCTTTGCGGTGATGAGGCTCACCCAGCTTGAAGAGGTCATCCAGGCGAAGGAACTGGCAGATGCCCTGCCAGATGCTGCCACAGGCCACTAGGCGACGGGCTGCATAGTCTATGAGCAGCAACTTATTCACGTTGTCCACAGGCACCAGGCGGTGGGCACACACACGCATGCTGGGGGGTGGGTAGCAGCGAGCATTGTCCTCAACAGGCCCAGTGACGTGGGCCCGCAATTCAGTCAGGTTGGGGGCCAGCTTGAAGACCCGGTTCACTGCACCCACAAAAACCTCCCCAGTCACTCGGTGCACAGCCAGGTGGGTGAGTGTGGTGTCTGTCACCACAAAGGCACGGAAGGGCCTGCTGCTACCCAGACCTTCCTCCATGGTGAGGAAGAGCAGCAGCAGGAGGCAAACAGTGGGCATGGCCAGCAGCTGTGCCGGGTATGGGCCTGAGGAGAGAGGCAAATGGGAGTCAGAGGCCCACTCTGCCTGCCTTCCTCCTGGCCTGCCTGGCCCAGGGCCACAGGGGACCAGGGCTGCTCACCCACCACCATGCCAGAATCCCAGATGGTGACCACGGCTGGGAAAGAAGAGAGGCCTCAAGCAGGGCACATGAGTGAGCAGCATCACAGGCAGGCTTGGGGGCAATCAATCATTCCCCACCCCCTACCCCACTCCCACTCTGGAAAGGAGCCAGGAGGCCTTGCCTCAGCTGGGCCACACCCAAGGGGGCAGCACAGTCAGATGCTTGGGAAGACAGGGTGGAAGGCCCTCCTGGAATTGAGACCACATCCCAGAGCTGAGAGCAGCCAGCCCCACGGGAAGGCAACTGTGCGGAAGCCCCAGGCCCCAGATAACCCACACCTGAGCTGGGAAAAGGGAAACACAAGGAGAGAACAATCACAAGCCGGGGGAAGGGGAAGGGATGCTACCCCAGAATGGCATTGCTACCAGGAGCCTCTGGGTAATCAATGCCTGAGGCTGGCTTCAGAGCTACTACATCTCCTGCTCCTGGCCCCAGCTGCCTCCTTCACCCACCCCAGGGCCTCAGCTGGCTGTCCAGAAGCCTGTTGTCTGGCCTCCTCGCTGCAACACAAAGCAAGTCTCATTTGCCCCCATAGCCACACATGGAGACAGACATTAAGTCAAGCTTTGCTCAGGCACAGCTAGAGTGATGCCCAGGCAGCCCTGCATGGCTCTCCTTGCAGATCCAGAGTTTAGCTGGGAAAGGAGAGGTACAGGGGGCTCAAACCCACCCTTGACAGTCCTAGGAGACTTTTAGTTGGGAAGCAACATCCCCAAATGCAGTTGAGGCCTTGGGGAGATGGGGCAGGGGCCATAGGGCCAGTGCCAGGACTGGCACTTCGCCCCCAGGCCACACCCAGCCAGCCCCAGTCTGAAAAGACAGCAAGGCAGTGTAGTGGTCGCCAGTGGGGCAGAATGCAGTGCTTCTCTCCCAGGACCCAATCCCCAAGGGAAACAGAGGGTACCCAGCATGTAGGGTGCAAGAAGCCAAACCAAGGAGGCACCAAAGAGAGAAAGGGAAAACTGCATTTGCTACAACAAGGAGCAGACCCAGCTTGAAATCGCAAAGTTTCAGATCCCATTGATCATCTCTCTGGGGTTCTTTTGTCAGGTTTGCATCCTGGACCCAGAGAAGAATGGAAGGCAAAGAAGAGAGACCGCATCCTGCCGTCACCTCCTTTACACCTTGCAGGAAGACAAGTCTAGGAACAGGCCTCAGACAGGTGGGGAAGGAGTCCTAGAGAGGCAGGATTTGTAGCCCAAGACCCCGCCCCAGCCCCCATCTGTAAGGTGGCAACCTCGGGCATCACAGGTACCCAGCTCCTTAGCTGTAGCCCTGCCAGCTGAGAACCGGATGATGGGGACAGCCACACGCAGAGACATGGGTCCAGCGCCCGGTCCCCAGTGCCGCACAACCGTGTTATCCCAGCTAGCCCAGCCCTCTCCAGGAGCACCCCTCAGCAGACCCACGAAGACCTCAGTCGGTGGAGGTGCCGCAGCAATGCTCTCAAGGGCCGCCACTCGGCTACAAAGACTCTATCAGGCAAGGGGGTTGGGTTCAGGTTGGCCGTCCCTACCCGCTCCAAAGGCAGGGGCAGTGCCTGACCCCCGAAAGGCCGAGCATGACCCCCAAGCTGCCCGAATCCTTGGCTACCTAGAAGACTGTCCCTGCACGGGCGACGGGGATGGCGACCACCTACCTATCCCTCCGCCGTCGCTGGCTCCGGGTGGCCGCCCGCCAGCCACGTGGACGCGCCCCGTTTGCCACAGCAGCCCTCCGCGCGCCCCCGCTGCCTCTTCCCGTGCCCTGAGCGCACCGCCGCCGCCGCCCACACACTGGGCCAGTCCGAGGCCGCTGGGCCTTTTAAACCCGGACTGTACCACCGCGCCGGGCGGGGGCGACCAGGGAGGGCTGGCCAAGGGAGCTAGAGCAGAGGGGCGCGCAGGAAGCGGGCCGCTTCTCCCTGGAGCTGGGAGCTTCGAATCGCAGCGCCAGGCCCCCATCACCTGCCAGAGACCTGGCCCTGAAAGCCGACCCCCTTCGTTCAATGGCCGCGTCCGCGGCGCGCGCCACCCAGCACCACCCCCCTCCGCCTCCTGCCTCGGGCAACCTGGAACTCGCGCGTGCCCGCGCCACACATCCCTGGGCTCTGGGGCGCGCCCGCCCCACCCGGCAGCGGGGGGGCCGCGCCCCGGGCCACCTGCTGCGGGTGCGCAGTCTCCCTTGTCCTGGCCACTCAGGTGCACACCAGGGAAGGACTCGCGGTCCTAGCACGGGACTCCCCTGACGGTCACAACCCAAAGGGCCTGTGACTAATAACACGCAAATGACCAGCACGAGGACTCTAGGCTTACAGCCTCTTACACCTGGCTCCTTCAGCCGTCTACCACGACCTTGAATGGGACTGAGGATATTGCCTAGCTTTCCTTTTCCTTCTCTTTAAGCAGCTTTATTAAGACAGGATTCACCTATAAGTCACTCATTAATTGTATACAATTCAGTGGCTTTCAGTATATTCACAAACTTGTGCCACTATCACCACAAATTCCAGAACACTTTTATCACCCCCAAAAGAAATCCCATACCCTAAAAAAGTCACTCTCCCTTCCCATTCCGTAAGCCTGGCAAAACTAGTCTACTTTCTGACTATGGATTTGCCTCTTCTGCACATCTCAGATAAATGAAATTATACAATATGAATATGTCTGAGTTCTTAATGTTTCCAAGGTTTACCCATATTATAATATGGTTTAGGACTTCATTTCTTTTTAGTGCCAAATAATATTCCATTGCATGAATATTTACATTCTATTAATCTATTCATCAATCACTAAAGATTTTAATTGTTTCCACCTTTTTGCCTGATCTACATATTTTTTCTACAAACACCTGTGTACAACATTTTGCATGAAGACATATTCATTTGTTTGGAGTATATGCCTAGGAGTGGAATTGCTGGGTCACATACTTAGATTTTTGACATTTGCAGTAAGTTTTGAAACTCAAATTATGAGTTCTCTAAATCTGATGTTTTTCAAGAATGTTGTGGGTATTCAGGGTCCCTTATATTTCCATATGAATTTTAGGATAAACCTGAAAGTTTCTGCAGAAAACCCAGCTGGGACTTTGGTGGGGGTTGACTTGAATATGTGCACCACATTCAAGAATACTGCCATCTTAACAAAAGTAAGTCTTCCAATCCATGGATACAGGCTGTTGTCATAGTTAACTATGTCACTTTGTCCAGGCTATAATCCCTGAGTATTTAATCATATCCTCATGTAGATGTTGCTGTGAAGGTATTTTGATACAGGAGATGGAACTCCAGGGGTGCTTTGACACTGAGCAATATCCCCCACCTTTCTTTTTTTTTTTTTTAAAGATGGACACAATATCTTTATTTATTTAATTTATTTATCTTTTATGTGGTGCTGAGGATCGAACCCAATACCTCACAAGTGGGAGGCAAGTGCTCTACTGCTGAGCTATAACCCCAGCCCCTCTCCCCCTTTCTAATTTATTTATTTATTTTATTTATTTATTTTTTTACTAGGGATTAAACTCAGGGGCACTCAACCACTGAGCCCCATCCCCAGCCCTATTTTATATTTTATTTACAGACAGGGTCTCACTAAATTTCTTAGGGTCTTGCTCAATTGCTCACACTGGCATGTGCCACCACACCCAGCAATTTTTTTTTTAAATTTTTTAATATTTATTTTTTTAGTTTTTGGCGGACACAACATCTTTGTTGGTATGTGGTGCTGAGGATCGAACCCAGGCCGCACGCATGCCAGACAAGCGAGCTACTGCTTGAGCCACATCCCCAGCCCACCCAGCAATTTTTTAATTGTTTATTTTGAGGCAGAGTCTTGATAAATTGCTCAGGCTGGCCTTCAACTTGTGATCCTCCTAGTTCATCTTCCCAAGTTGCTAGAACTAACAGATCAGCCTATGAAAGTATTTTGTACCTGTGGTCAACATCTATAGTCAGGTTATTCTCTACTCTGAGACATCTCACTTTCTCTGGAGAGTGTTCTTTGTTTGAGTCTTTTTTTTAAAGAGAGAGAGAGAGAGAGAGAGAGAGAGAGAGAGAGGGGGGGRGGGGGGGAGAGAGGGAGAGAGAGAGAGAATTTTAATATTTATTCTTTAGTTTTTGGCGGACACAACATCTTTGTTTGTATGTGGTGCTGAGGATCGAACCCGGGCCGCACGCATGCCAGGCGAGCACGCTACCGCTTGAGCCACATCCCCAGCCCCTCTTTGAGTCTTACTATACTTTCACACATAATAAAATTCTCTTGTAGCCAGGCTGGGCATGGTGGTGCATACCTGTAATCCCAGTGACTTGGGAAGCTGAGGAAGAAGAATAGCAAGTTTGAGGCCAGGCTCAGTGACCTAGTGAGGCCCTAAGTAACTTAGTGAGACCCTGTCTCAAAATAAAAAATAAAAAGGGGTGGGGATATGCCTCAGTGGTAAAGTGCCCCTGGTTCAATCATCAGTACCAAAAATAAATAAATAAATAGACTCCTGCTTGGGGAAAAACATTGGTCAATCAGTTGACTTTATTTTTTTTATTTAGTACTGAAGATTGAACCCAGAGATTCTCTACCACTGAGCTATAACCCCAGCCCTTTTTAGTTTTTATTTTGAGACAGAGTCTCACTAAGTTTCCCAGGCTGGCCTCAAACATGCCATCCTCCTGCCTGTGTGGCCAAGAGAGCTTAGCCATAAAAGTTATTTTGAGACAGAGTTGCCCTAAGGCTGACTTTGAACTTGCAATCCTCCTGCCTCAGTCTCCGGAATTGCTGAGATTATAAACTTGCACCTGGCAAATTCTCTCTTCTTAATATCAGCACAATGGCAATTAAATTTCAACATGAATTTTGAAGGGGACATTCACACAATAGCAGTCTTCTTTAATTTCTTTCAACAATGTTTTATAGTTGTCAGTGTACAAGTCCTGCAGGTTTATATATATATTTAATATATATATATATATATGTGATGTTGTTGTTTGTTTGTTTGTTTTATGGAATTTCTTCCTAAGCATTTTGTTCTTTTTGACACTCTTGTAATGGAATTGTTATCTTAATTTCATTTTGGATGATTTATTGCTAGTGTATAAAGCATAAATTATTTTTAAAATTTTTATTTTACTTGCTTATGTATTTATTTTTGGTACTGGGTGTTGAACCCAGGGGCACTTTTCCACTAAGCTATATATCCCCAGTCCTTTTATTTATTTATTTATTTATTCATCCATTCATCATTCATTCATTCATTAATTTAGAGACAGGATCTCATTAAGTTGCTGAGGATGACTTCAGACTTGTAATCCTCTGGCCTCAGCCTCCATAGTCACTGGGATTACAAGCATGTGCCACCACATTGGGCTGAAATAATTTTTATATGATGATTTTTTATCCTGAAACCTTGCTGAACTTGCTTATTTGCTTTAAGTCTTTTATAGGGCTCCTTAAAGTTTTCTATACACAAGATCATGTCATCTGAGAATAGAGATAATTTGATTTTATCCTTTCTGAACTGTATGCCTTTTATTTCCTTTGTTGTCTAATTGCTCTGGCTAGGTCCAATGTTGGATAGAAGTGGTTGCTTTTCTTTTCTTTTTTTACTTGTATATTTTGAAATTATTTCTGTTTCACTTGACTAATTTTTATCCTGGTTGCGGGTATAGTTCCCTGTTTCTTTGCATGTGTGGTGATTTTTCTTACATGCTATCAGTATGATTGTTATATAGTTCAGAATTTGGATTCAGTTGTCTTTCTTGAAAAGAGTATTGGATTCTGGCAGGCAGTTAAGGTACTTGTGAATCAGCTTGATCCTCTCAAGACTGATTTTTAGGCTTTGTTAGGACAGGTCTAGGGAACCCTTTGTTCTAGGGTTACTATAACAGATTCCTAAGGTGTGACCCTTCTGGATTTCCATTGACTGATTTCCTGAATTTTCATCCTATGCATATGCAACTTAGTATTCAGCCTGAAATCCAAGGGGGCACCTATGCAGAGGTTTATATCAAATGTGCAGGAGTTATTCTGAGGTAATTACACAGGAGTAGAATTGCTTGGTAATGAACCCTGTGATCACTCAGCATTCTCATGTAACTATCACAAGGGCAAAATACTACCACCCACCCTGTCACATCCTGTTTCTCAGTCTTGTCTTTTACATCTCATCCATTTGCTCAAGAAGCCTAATTGTTACCTTTTGATCCCTTGGTGATCTCATTCTGTTCCAGAGCCTCAAATAAGGTCAATCTTGACAACTCTTAAATTTCTTTCTCCAGCTTCTCAAGTTCTCCTGGTTCATAGATATGAGTTTTTGCCTGGCAACCCCACTTGGCTAGCTAATAGGAATGTCAACATAATATGTCCACCAGTAGTTAATTGTTCATTCTAAACTTGCTTCTTGTTACAGGGGCCCTATCTTAGTAGATTCCTCCTCTTGCTCAGGCCAAAACCTTGGAATTTTCCTTCACTCCTCTTTTCTCTCAACACCATATTCTATCTGTCAGCAAATATTGTGGCTTTCCCCAAAAATCTACCCAGAATGTGACCTTTTCTCCAGCCTAAGCCACCAGCTTCTCACATCATTATTTCTTTTGCAACATTGAACTGCAGAAGACTTTCCTAATTATGACCTAAAACCCAGAAGCAAGTGACAGAAACAGACAATTGGCAGATGAAGTCTATATTTTAAACATGTGAAGAGAAATACAAAATAAAAGCACAAACCATGTACATAGATGTACATAGCAACATTGTGTACAATAGCCAAAAGGTGGAAATACTCAAAATGCCCAGAAACAGAGGACTTGATAAGCAAAATATGATATTTCCATACAATGGAACATTGTTCAGTTATAAAAAGAAAGGTGACTGGGGGTATAACTCAGAGATAGGGCTCTTGCCTAATGTGCACAATGCCCTGGGTTCAATACCCAGTACCACACATACATACAAACAAAAGAAATGAAATTCTGATCCATGCTACAATATGAACAAACCTCTAAAACATTATGCTTAGTGAAATAAGCCAGACATAGAAGATCACATTTTGTATGATTCTGTTTATGTGAACCTTCCAGAATAGTCAAATCCATAAAAACAGGTCAGTAGCTGCCAGGGGTTGTAGTGAGGAAGAAGGATAGAGACAGCTTAATGGTTACAGAATCTCCTTTGGAGGTAACAAAAATGTTCTGGGAGCAGATAGATAGGATAGTTGCACAACATGATGAATATTTGAAATTCCATTGAATTATACATTTTTAAATGGTTAATGGCTAACTTTATACTATGTGAATTTTTCCTTGGTTGAAAAATTGAAAATAAAGATTAACCTTGCAAGGCCCTAAATAACTCTGCAAGACCATCTCTAAATAAAATACAGAGGGCTGGGGATATAGCTCAGTTGGTAGAGTGCTTGCCTTGCATGCACAAGACCCTGAGTTCAATCCCCAGAATTACTACAAAAAAAATAAAATACAAGAAAGGGCTGGGGATGTGGCTCAGTTAAGCACCCCTGGGTTCAATAATCCCTGATTCTATGAAATAAAAAAAAGTAAACCAGGCATGCTGGTATACACCTGTAATGCCAGCTATGCAGAAGGCTGAGGGAGGAGGACCCCAAGTTTGAGACCAGCCTGGGCAACTTAGCAAGACCCTGTTTCAAAATAAAAATATAAAAGGTTGGAGATTTGGCTCAGTGGCAGATCTCTTGCCTATTGTAAAGAAAGCCCTGGGATCAATACTCAGCACTGCAGAAGAAGGAGAGGACAAGAATGATGAGGCTCTCCATGATATGGAAATAGGTGTAGTCTACCCACCTATGTTGTAAGTGACACTTTAGTAGCCAGGTACAAGCAAGATAAAAGCAGGCCACATTTTGTATAGAAAGGTAAGAGACAGATTATATATTTATATGACTTTGTCTTTGCATAGAGAAACAAGGAGAACCAGGAGGTGATAAAAGTGCATCTCTCTGGGTTGGGGGAGGGTGAGAACTGGGTTGGGCCAGAGCCCAGCCTGAAGTGAAGCACCTTGCTTCCTGCTCTTTCATGATGATGTGTGAACCATGTGAATACATGGCTTCTGCTGGACAGTTAAAAAAGTAAAAGAGAGAAAAGAGCACTGTGCACCAAGTCCCTTTTACTCCCTCCTTTCTTTCCCTCCCTCCGTTCCAACCATTTACCTCCAATCTTTCCCAATAGGGTATCCATAGTTGCTGTTTCCTCTGTCTGAAATGCTCTCTCCTGTTCCGGAATGGCTAGCTTCTTGTCATTTAAGTGTCAGGTTAAATTTCCCTATGGCAGAAAAGGCTCCTTATCTTTTTTTTTTTTTCTCTTTGTTGTGCACACAGAGGAATGAAGCCTGGGTGAGGGAGGGACCAACAGCTTCCTCTCTAGCTGTATCCTCTGCATATGCTGGTCTTTGGTGACCCCATTTAGTTCCAAAGCATCAAATAGTATCTGCCTTGACAGTTCTTCAACTTCTCTCTGCAGCCTCCTAAACTCTTCTGAACTCTACCTTCAAATGCATCCAACATTCCAAGGGTCTCCCCAAGCCTGGGCAATATCTAGACAGTCCTCCTTCCTCAGCAGGAACTTTGGCCAGCACCAGTCTCCAGGAGTGAGGTCAGACTCCTGAGACCACTGAGGCCCAGTGGCAGAGTGGAATATCTAAAAGAAGCTTTCCTAGAGTCTTTTAGACTACACCTCAGTCCTGCACTTTGGATAAGGGGATCCTCTACTGGGCCCCCTACCATGACATTGCTTTTTCTGACCTTTTGCTGGTCACAAAGATGTGGCTGTCCTTCTCTAACAGTCCCCCTGTATGCTTGATATTGACCCCAGAGGGCTTCATAGTCTCCCTGCCAGGGACTTAGGGCTGTTTCCAGAAAGCAGATTCTCTCCTGAAAGAATCAGGACTGGTCTTCAAAGAGCTTGTTTTCCAGAACCTGCAGGGCTGGAGACAGCTCCTGTCTAGGTGTGACCCAGGCTCACAGTCCCTTGGCATCTTGGATCTATATGAATACAGAATTCAAGAGAGCTTGGGGACTGTAGAGAAAAGTTGAGATGATGTCAAGTTATATGGCATTGGGTGAAAATAGCTTCCTTTCCCTGGGAAGCCTGCTCTTCTTGGAGGTTTCTCAAAGGGTAGGAAGGTATTGGCATAGAAAACCTGAAGATTCGCTCCAGGCCTCCTTGTAGCCCAAGAACAGGCTACATTGAGCTCCTCAGACTTGTCTCTCACATCTGGAATATAGGATCAGGCTTGGCTACCCCCTCCCTGCTGTGCTCCAAGGTACCCTGATCTACTCCTACTTTCTTTCTCCTCCAAGTGACCCCAGATGGTTCTACCCGAGACACAGGGCCAGAAATGCAAGTGAGAACTCCTGGTTGGCTCATGGTCCTACCTCATCCCTTTTCCCTGCACTTTGGATAAGGGATCAATCCTTATATGAAATGTTAAGAATAGGCCAATCCATAGACAGACAGAGTAAATTAGGGGTTGCCAGGAGCTTGCAAGACAGAATGAGGAGTGTCTACTAAATAAATGGCCATATGGTCTTTTGGGGTGATGAAAATGTTCTGGAAGTACGTGGTGATGGTTACATAACACTGAGAGTCAACTAAATGCCACTGAATTTAAATGATCAAGCTGGGCATGGGGGCACATACCTGTCATCCCCGTGACTCAGGTATCTGAGTTAGGAGGATGGCAAGTTTGAGGCCAGCCTGAGCAATGCAGCAAGACCTTGTCTCAAAATAAAATAAAAAACGGCTGGGTATGTATCTCAATGGTAAAGTGCCCCTGGGTTCAATCCCCAGTAAATAAGGTCAAATGGCCACAATGAGAAATTCCATGTTATGTGAATTTTATGTCAATAAAAAATATTTTTAAACAGAACACACTTTCTCACAATGCAGGTACTCCAGCTCTAACATGTGCACTTATTTATTGTAGAAGAAAAAAGCAATAATGACAGTGCCAGGGGATGAGTGGCTACTGTCCTCCTAGCACACAACAGCACAGTCGCAGGGGAGTCAGACACTTGAGTTCTGGAGACATGGGGGTCACCAGGGACAGCCGAGGCCAAGCCACTTTCTACATGTTCACCGGATCTGGTGTGAGAACAGAGGGACAGGGGACAAGGAAGGGAAAACAGGGATGAGAGTACTGGCTGGCATATCCCTTTGGTTCTCTAGCAAGACACTGAGGGCCCACTTAGTCAGGCTGTCCCCCCCACCCTGGAAGGCCTCCTGGTGACCAGCCTCTCCAGCTTCCTTGCCTCCTCACCGTATACTTGTCCCACTTCTTTTCAGGGTCATAGGGCTCCCAGCGGCTGGCAGGGAAGATGTGCTTGTTCTTCTCATACCAGCTTCTCAGCACCACCTTTCCTGCATGAGACTAAGGAAAAGCCAACCTTCCTGACCTCTACTTTCCTTAACTTCTCCACAGCCCAGGGACACCACCCTGTGGGCCCAGGACCTCTCCCCACCCAGTGCCCTGGCACCATCCTACTTCATCCTTCTCCACAGTGGCATCGCTGAGTAGCCGCACATCATCATGAACATCGAAGTTAAAGAGTGGCCCTTTGGGGGAGAAATAGCCATCCCAAGGTTACAGTGATATATATATATATATATATATATATATATATATATA